GTCTTTTGGATTATTATTTTTAATTGATTCTCGTTTTTCTTTGTACAAAGTAACAATTTCTCAAATGGATATGGAATCTTCAGAGTAAGAGAAATTGGTAATGGACTCTCATCTAAATTTTGTGATTCAGGTAATAAACCTACGTCATAAAACCATAGTAGTACTTTGAAATACATAGATACTCGTTTCAATGCTCTTTTTTGCTTCATTAAATTGTTTGTTTCAAAAGGCAGTTTTCCTACTACGTTAGACAAACATTCCAGTTGCTGATAACAAAACCTTAATGTTTTTACTTCGGATTCTCCTATATTATTACCTGATTGATCAAATAAAGGAACACATAAATGATCAGCAATCATTTTTATAGAAGATGCACGCTGTATTCCCCATTTTAAAAAACTCGGATACATGTAAGCGGCACTTCCATCTGACCATTCTTTAGCACATTTGATTAAAAAAGTCGCCCAACGTTGTTCCAAACAAAGTGATAATAACATATCTCTTTGAACATTATGATCACTAGAAAAAGAAACTTCTGTATTGAAAGGTATCAAACCAACAGAGAGACACTTGTGAAATATTTCAGAAGGTTGCATTAATATAATTGGGCCTGTGATGGCAATTTCACGAAGCAATTCAGCCTGAACGCCTCTAGAAAGCCAAAAAGTTAGTTTTGATAAACTTAATTCTATCCATTCAAGAGATAAAGAATTTGGATAAAATAATTCTTCTGATGAAGTAATGTTATTGTTAGGAAATTCTTGCAGAGTACGAGGAATATAAGCACAACTTATTATTTCATTATTATTCATGTTGTAAGACCTATTATTTATATTATAACAGGCCAATATGCTATTTGGATTCTTACATTCACTGATAGTTTGAGGCATTTGTTCCTTATACCATTGATTCAAATCAAACAAGAAAGTTCTATTTGTAGTCGAAATCAAAAGCAAACTATCTTCACCTCTCTTATATTCTGACTCTGTTTGATCTAGATTGTTTCCTCTTTCAATTGTAGACAAATTAATCACTTTATCTTTTGGATCTAATTCGATCTCAAATTTAAGACTGGGTTCTGCTTCCAGATTAAAATATAAATTAGTTCCTCTATCACAATATTTTCGTTCAAACAACAAGGCAAACATTCTCAAGAGAGGAGGCATCTTAAATGAGTCATCTTGGAAAACCACCCATAAATAATAAAAAGGTCTAGGATCATCTGTTGGTTCTAATAATGCTAAATGTGTTATTATCATACTTTCATCTACAGGCATGCTTATCCATCCCACAGAACCATTATTTTGCCATATTATTATTCTGCCTAAACATCCTGATATTAAACAACCAATTTTTGTTGAACTAATTATCGTATTTGTTAATTTTTCATCTAGAAAACCATTAGATTCAAAATCTTCTCTATTAAAGCCAATATGTTTTTCTATACCTACAAATGTAAAAATGAGAATATATATTAGAATAAAAAAAGAATAAGAAAAACAATTCAACTTCAGCAACTTACGTTGAGTTAGCAAATTACAAGTCATATGTTTGCTATTATTTCTATGAAAGGAATCTTTTGTTGTTAAAATTTCTATTTCAGCAGGAGAAATTTCATCCATCATCACAGATAAATCAGGAACCTCCCAAATAGATCTTTGAAGATCAATCATGAGGTGATGAAGATTGCGTAATACTACACAAGCTATACCATCCATTTGCATAAGAATATTTTCTGGTCTTTTATCATTGAACTCTTCCCATTGTGTTCCACCAGATACAATACAAACTTGTTCTATACCAGCTGGCATCTACAAAAAAGATATAAATATTATAAATATTATTTCATTCTAAATGCTTTATTTCAATACTTACTTTAATAGCTCTTAAAACACGAGAGGTAGTACAATCAAATATACATAATAAACCCATAGAATCTTTAATTCTTGTTGCTTCATTATCTAAACCAACAAGAAGTAAAGGTAATTCTCCACATTGAGCAGGAAATTGACAAACACAAGTGATCTTTCCTCGAAAAGTCCATGAACTGGTACTTTCACCAGTTTTTACATTAAGAACTACTAAATGGCAACCATAACTTAGCCAAGCATACGTAGTATTATTTAGAAAACCTCCATGAACATTATCAGTATTATTATATATTCGTGAAACATTTGATGATCCACATCTATGATCATCTTCTTCTATATTATTTAAGTATTTTGTTATAGAATGTTGAATATCTATAACATTACGTATCTACAAAAAATAATGTGATTAGAAATGATATCACTATAACATAAACAAGTATTGCAATAATCATATGAATTTTTTCAAAAATGCAATATAACATTATTAATTACCTCGCAGCTAACTTCTTCTAATTCTTTCATATTTTACACGTGATATTAAAATAGATGAAATAAGGAAGAATCATTTATAAACTTTCTCACTAAGGTCACCATAAGGTTATGTTGCCGCCAAATTTCAATAATCCTGTTACATACCGATAATGACAATTGGCACAAGCTTGGATAGCGTACATTCACAGTAAAATATGATAGAGTATTCGGAAAACGGCGTAATTTAGAATCATACAGAAGAAAATTTATATTACTTTTAAATTCGTTCCGCTATTCGTACGTACATTTTAAAACTGTAACTATACAACTGCGAAGTACGTTAAGAAGTGTTACCAATTGCATGATTTATCATGACATTTAATACATACATAAAATATTAATTACTATATAATTTTAAATATAATCAAATATAGGAAATTTAAACAAGATAATGAAATTTAAAAATATTTTAGAATAATTATACTAAAAAAGATTATAAAATAAAGAATTTTGATTATTTATCGTATTCGATGCTCATAAAAAGAAAGCATTATCTCTAATTATTAAATTCTAATTGTTATATTAATTTCATTTAAAAAATATTTGACATTCTAACTCTGAATAAAAATATTTATAAAAAGAAGGAGAATGTAAAATTAATAAACAACGAATTTATATTATTTTTTGTATTGTTATTAAAGTTTAATTGATGAATTTATGATTTCTTAAAAGTTCCTATATTTAAATTTTATATATATTGCACTTGAAATATTAAATTTCAAATATTTTTGTTTTATTTAAATTGTTATATAATTATTTATTATAATTATATATATATTTCAAATGATGTAAATTATTTATTTCGATTTCAACTATTAAATTTATTTAAAAAAATGAAAATATCCTAAATATATTAAACGCTCTTAATGATATTTCTATAGTGGCTAGTCCCCAATTGATTGTGTCAAAATATTTTTTTATAAATTCTAAAACTAATATTTACTATAGTATTTACAATAAATACTATCTAATGTTATAATTACAATTATTTCATTATTAGAATAAGTTCTATATATTATAAAAATTGAAATTATAATAATATTGTCATAAATATATGTTAATAGTTCTAACCTTTATTAATATTACACATTTGTTAAATTGGTTTATAAAGTTTAACATTATTAACAAAATATTAAGAAATGATTATTGTATTATAAAATGTCATATCAAGATTCGCCGTTTTCGACTATGTATGGTCAAGATGATTATGATATTGATGAAGACAATGATGAGTATTTAGAAGATGACAGAGATGTTGAAGAACAAGATGAAAGTGACGAAGGTACAATTATTTTATAAAAAATTTTATTTCATAAGTAATATGTATATATTTACTCAATGTAAATTTTCAGACACAGAGGAAGCAAGTGAGACAGATCTTGGAAAATCTGAAGAATACACAGAAATAAAAGAACAGTAAATAAATAAATTTATATTAATTTTTTTTTTTTAATAATGAACTTAAAATTCCCAGGGTTTATCAAGATAAATTAGCTAGTTTAAAAAAACAATTGCAACAGTTAAAAGATGGAACACATCCAGAATACAATCGTAAACTAAAACGCTTAGAAGCTCAATATAAAGAAAGGTTCATATTTTCTGTTATAAAATTTGTTTTAAATATAATTATTATGTTCTTATTCCTTCAATTAAGTTATTTACTTACAGATTACGATTGAATATAATTTATCGCGATTACTTGACAGAATGGGTGGAACGAGATTACATATTAGAAAAGAAAGCAGCAGTGAAGGAGTTTGAAGAAAAGAAAATAGATTTAAAAGAAAATTTATTAACTGACATGGAAGAAAAACGGAAAATGATAGAATCTGATCGACATACAATGGAACTTACTGGTGATTCAATGGAAGTAATATAAATTTAATATAAGTATATCAAAATATTATGATAAATATTATTATAAAATATTCATTTTTCTATTCATTATTTAGGTAAAACCTGTAATGACAAGAAAATTACGAAGACGACCAAATGATCCTGTACCTGAAAAAGTAGAAAAACGGAGGAAACCACCTCCTGCTCAATTAAATTATCTATTAGATGAAAAAGAAATAGAAAGTGATTTAAAAGCTATTAGTCGCGGTAAAGTACTGACCACTGTTCGCAAACCAGGTACTGATTCAAAATTTTAAAACAATATGCATACATTAATTTTGCATCATCTTATAACAGTATTACCACATTACAATGCAATCAACATGCCTTCACAACATATTCCTCCACCCTCTGATAGTCCAATGATAGAGACTAGAATAGAAGATGGAAAACTTTTACATGAAAGGCGATGGTAATTTTAGTTTTTATATTTTCATGTAAAATGTAAATATGTTTTATATTCAAATAAATAAATTTAGGTTCCATCGCGGACAACCAGTGTATGTAGAAGGAAAAGATTTAACCAGGTTTGCTGCAAATATTTCTGCGATAGGAACAGAAGCCGTAAGTAAATAAATATTAATGAATTCACATTATTTATTTTTTTTATTATATTTTTTTTAAAATAATAATTTACTCATTTCATAGATTTGGGTGAAGAAAGTTTCAGATGGAAGCAAAGTACGGATATACTTATCGCAATTAAGTCGAGGGAAGATTTCGATCAAAAGAAGAGCATCATAATGACTATCATAATGAAGAATTCATCGTTATAAATTTAAGTGTTCAGTAATTGTTACACTTGTGATATGATATTAGACTTGTAGTTTATTGAAGTTCTATTTTCTGGATTCAATATAACTCTTACTGTACTTGTTTTTTGCCACCAATAAAACCAGACTTTTTGATGATATTGTATTGCCATATACATCCATATAAAATAAGAGAAAAGTAACAGAAACATCATAGCTAATAATAAATAAGTTGTCCATCGTGCTGGAGGAAAATTATCATAATTATTTTTTGCATAAAAATCGGCCGCAACTATACAAATGTAAGAACATCCTATCGCCATAGGCGTAATAATAATGCTCCGAAATAAATCAGCCTTCAAACTGCGAACGTATAATTGATGTTGTTGTTGATTAAGGCACATCCAAATTATTATGGAATGTAAAATATTGTAGCGAGGAGTTCTTCTGACATCAAAGTGATATCCACATAATTCGCAACTATTCCTGTTACTTTCCTCTAGCCAACGTTCTAGACATTTTAAATGTATTGCACCCATAGTTCCCTTGAAAAAATTTTATCTTTTAATTTCTTTGGAATTCATGAAATTTCATTAATGTTAATGACCATTAGCTAACTTTACACTTGCAAGGATATGTAATAGGTAAGTGTTGGGAAGAATCATAGCAAATGCGACAATGTATCTCCTCATTAAAAGATTCGGGTAAACTCAATTTCGGTCTTTTATTCGAATCATGTTTTATATCAAGTTTCCGTTTTATTGTCAGCTTGACATCTTTATTTTTTTGATCGCATTCCGCTTCGACTTTCGCTATAATTTTTTCTAGCACACTTTCGACGGAACTCCTTTGACTGGTCATTATAAACTGATTTTAGTTGTTTAATCTGAATATTAATGTATTCAAAAGAAAAAAAGACAAACGAAAATATATCAATTACATGATAATTTCAGTTTGTTATTGTTATATCATTTTAACTGTTTTTGTTTATATCATTTTATGAAGTTATGAAAAAATAAAGCTCATTATAAAATATAACAATTTTTTTCATTATCTATATAATTTTATCCTATTTGCTATAAATACACATGAATAGGAAAAAGAGGACCGAAGTATCTTGTTACATGTATAAAAACTTGTATTACGTTATGAAGAATACAGTTAAATTAACTAAGATATTATTAATGAAATATATAATAATGTGCAGTTTGTAATTAATCACTAAATTATGAATAAACATTTGTCACTCAGCCATCATATCCACACTGGGGCAATCTTCACCTATATTACTCGGAGATGTTTCTAATTCTCCGATTTCGTTAGATTCGCTGTAAATATAAATTTCATATAATATGTATTTCTATAAACTTTTTAGGATATAATTTTTTAAATATTATTGTTTACCTGTCTAATGAAGGGTCATTGCTAAACATTTCAGTTGGAACAGTAGGTGGTGCTTTTTCTGGTACTAATTCCAAATAAGTTTGTCGAGACTCTAGATGTCTTTCTACTTCTTCTGGTGTCATATGACCATCTGACATTAATGACATTGGTACTATATTATTTGATGATTGTACCTGAAATATAAAATGTTTGTGAAATAATTTATTTATTTATTATATATTAAAATTACATATAATTACTTACTATGGGTGTGTTATTTGATTTTGTCACTTTTGGAGTAGGTTTCTTCTTTTTATTTGTATTAAGAGGTTTTGTTACTGTCGGTATATGATGTGGTGTGTGATTACTAATGCCTATTTCTATTTTTTTTCTAAGAACAAAATATAAAATCAATATAAGTAACAACTTAATTTTTATAATAAAATTTCTTTCAATTACCTTTTTGAAGTATCAAGACGTGTAACTTCTTCATCAGATGATTCTGTTTCATCACTTTCACTAAATGAAGCATCTACCTTCTCATATTGTAATAATCTATCCAATAAAAAACTTTTATCCCTATTTACTTTAAGTAGTTTCCTTTGTGTAGATCGTAAAGCTTCTTGAAAACATTCATTTTCCTAAAATAATTATTAAAAAATAAAATTGTAATTAAAATATATATAAAAATATTAAATATACATACATAAATTAAAAATTTTAATTTTCTTTTAAGATTTCGATATTGATCCTTGTAATTAGGCACTTCCTCCTCTGGACTATCATCGTCATCATCTTCTGCATCTGCATTGTTGTTTGCAATTGAACGACAATACCATTCTTCCAACATTGATCATCCGCAACTAAAAATTGATAAACATAAAATTATTTACAAACATTATTTTATATACAATATTTTATAAAAATGTAATAAAGAAGTCATTTTTTATATTGTTTATTCCTATAATTATAAAAAATATTTTTATGCAAAATAATTTCATTATAATTTATATATTATAAATAACAAATATATTATTAATGTCAATTTAATGCTATTTAAGGTTAACTTCTCAGCAATAGAAGATAGGTTGACAATATATTTAATAGAAAATTAAAGAAAGATCAAATAGAACTGCAAAATCTGAATTAAAATAAAATAAAATGCAATAACACTTACGCAAAACTTTAAGATGATTTCTTTTGTGATGCGAATAATCGAGATGAACAATTAGAAAGATAAATAAGTTGTTTATGACTGGCTTCCATTCTGAATTTCTTTATCGATTCTATAGTAAATTCAAAACGTTATCATTTGACAAGAAATTTTAATTAAATATTTATATACGATTTGATTCTTCTTTTAGAAGATAAACAATAAAAATTTTTATAAATTTCATAAATATTAAATTAATAGTTTTTAAATATATTTTTTAAATCTATAATAATAGAAAAATTGTAGTATTTTCTTATTTATGGAATAAGCGATAAATTTATGTAATTATCAAATTAAAATTTTTTAATTTTATGCAATATCTATTAAATAAATAAATCATACAAAAAATATATAAAAATATATTATCTTTATATATTGTAATGTATATATTATTTTATTTATTAATTATTTATTATATCATGTATTTTTTAATAATAAATCATAAATAAATATTGATTATATCTAATTAATGTATAATGAAAAATAAAAAATTGAATTATAAATAATAAAATGATAAATGTTGTACATATTTTTCGCCAAAAAATTTACATATTATAAATAAATTTTTCAAATTTGAAACAATAAAATATTTTTTAATATTTAAAAAATCGATGTAATTATTATTTTTTTTTAAATACCATATTTTCTTCTTTTTTAATGAATATTTAAAATTTTAAAAAAAATAATTTATAATTGTCGCCATCGATGCGCTGTTACATGTTCTAATTTGTTTCAAAGAGTTTCCTATCTTCTCAAAACTGATTGTCTATGAATATATTGAAGTAAAATTAATAAACTTACATGGTCGAAGTTTTTAGTTTTTATAAAACAGTCTTTAGAGAAGAAATTGTTAAGTGTTACTGTCACAGTGTAAATTTTTTAAAACGTTTTTAATAATTAAAAAAGGATTTTTGCATTCCAAATGGGTATACCGAAGTTCTTTCGATACATAAATGAAAGATATCCTTGTCTCACAGAAAAATTGAAGGACTATCAGGTAATTAAAAAAAAAGTTGTCAACAGTACTTGCCCTTTATGTTTTTACAATTCTTTATCATTACTCAATAGTGTCTCCTTTGCATTTTTCCTATATATTCTGTTACTATAAATTTTTTGGTTTTTTAAACTATGCATATAAATAATATCTTAAAAATAATATATCTTTATGTATTATCAATGTATGATTATTATTATTTCCAGATACCTGAATTTGATAATCTATATTTAGATTTAAATGGTATTATACATGAATGCTCGCATCCGGACGATACGGATGTTACGTTCCGCATTTCAGAAGAAATTATATTCAAAAATATATTTCGTTATATTCAGGTATTATTTTGCATGATCCAGCCTCAAAAGTTATTTTTTATAGCGATTGATGGCGTGGCGCCACGTGCGAAAATTAATCAACAAAGAAGCAGACGTTTTAAAGCTGCAAAAGATGCACAAATTCAAGAAGCTAAAGCAAAAGCTAAAGGTATAAATTTACCTAAAGAGAAAAGATTTGATTCTAATTGTATAACTCCAGGAACACTTTTTATGTCCAAACTGGATGAACAATTAAAATATTTTATTACGTATAAAATATCAACTGACAAACTTTGGCAAAAGTGTAAAGTTATATTAAGCGGATCTCAGGTTCCTGGAGAAGGAGAACACAAAATAATGGACTACATACGTCATATGAAAGCACAACCAAATTATGATGTAAATACTAAACATTGTTTATATGGTTTAGATGCAGACTTAATAATGTTAGGTTTATGCACTCATGAAATACATTTTACATTGTTGAGGGAAGAATTGACATTTGGTAAAAAACAAAGAAAAGTTTGTTTAACTCCAGAGGAGACAAAGTTTTGTCTATTTCATTTATCTCTATTAAGAGAATATATAAATCATGAGTTTTCCTCATTAAAGGAAAAATTGCCTTTTTCATATGATTTAGAAAAGATAATTGATGACTGGATTTTAATGGGATTTCTTATAGGAAATGATTTTATACCACATCTACCAAATTTACATATTATACATGGTGCATTGTCTGTACTATATCAAGTATATATCGACGTAATGCCTACATTAGATGGTCAGATAATCTAAAACAAAGAAAGCATGTAATACAATATATTTCATAAGTTATTTAAATTTAAAAATTTATTTTAGGTTATATAAATGAAGCGGGAACGTTAAGATTAGATAGATTCGAAAAATTCATGGAAAGACTTAGTCGTTTCGATATATTACAATTTTCTGAATATTATGCAGATTTGAAATATCTCGAAAGTAAAACAGGAAGATCTCTTATTGAAACTGAAAAACTCAATGAGAAAAAATCAAGTAATGAAGAAATTCGTTCTCCAAAGAAAGTACAAGATAAAGAATTCGATATGTTACTTAGAACTGCCGCGGAGATGGTATTTATTTAAATCGTATTTAAATAAATTTATAATACTTGATTTTTAATATTGATTCTTAATGTAGTCATTAGGAAGATATGATGACGAAGACGGCGGAGATGATAAGTCAGATAGTGAAATGTACACAATGGAATTTGTGCAATGCAAGAAAGATTATTATATTAATAAATTAAAATATGAAAATATAGATGAGTAAGTGTAATTAACAAAAATTATGCAATCTAATTTATACATTATCTATGTATATTAACTATTTTAGAGATTTTTTACGTTCACAAGCCGAGGGTTATGTTAGAGCAATTCAATGGAATTTAAATTATTATTACAACGGATGTTGTAGCTGGTCGTGGTATTATCCACATCATTATGCACCTTATATTTCTGATATAAAAGATTTCAAAGATTTGAAATTGGAATTTGAATTGGGAGAACCATTTTTACCATTCGAACAATTATTGGCTGTGTTACCATCTTATAGTAAAGAATTATTACCATCAGCATTCCAAACATTATTAACTGAAGAGCAATCTCCTATAATTAACTATTATCCATCAGAATTTGAAACAGATTTAAATGGCAAGGAGCAAGAATGGGAGGCTGTAGTACTTATTCCATTTATAAATGAAAAAGATCTATTAGATGGTAACTAAAAAATCGTAAAATTGTAAAATTTCATTTTTCTATAAATTAAAATTATTAATTAAAATTTTACAGCAATGGCGCCTCATTATTCAAAATTAACTTTGGAAGAACAAGCAAGAAACAAGCATGGACCAATGTGTTTATTCACTTACACAGAAGAAGAATTAGGCGTGTATCATGCACCTGAATATTTTCCTAATGTTATTAATAATTTTGCAAAAATACAATTAATTAATCGTGAAGATATTTACGTTCCTCGAGAAAAATTAGTACGGGGCTTGTGTTCTGGTGTAAGACCAGATATATATTATCCTGGTTTTTCTACTATACAACATATAGAGCATACTGCAAGTTTGGAAAAAGCCAAAGTAAATTATCTAAAATTTTTTCTTCATTATTTTATCTATTCTACTTTATTTTATTAAAGTATTGTCATCGTATATAGATAAAAGTATTTCAACGACAATCTAATCGAGAAAGTATGATTTTACATATAAAACCACAACCCAAGATTAATTTAACGACAATAGGATCAAAATTATTAGGTCAAATAGTATTCGTAAATTGGCCACATTTAAAAGAAGCTTTAGTAATCGGTGTTTCCAGTTCTTCTTGTATGAAAATGAATTTAATTAATCCGCAAATGAAACGTTTATATGATACCATTGATGGATCAGAATGGACTGTGGAGAAAAAACGTATAACAGAAACGTAAGTAATTAAAAATTTTTTTTAATATTGCTTTTATAATAATTATTGTTTGTAGGTATAAAGATCGTCTCGGAGTAGATATCGGAGAAACTAAATTTTTAGTTCATGTACGATTACTAGTAGGCAAAAAATACACTTTCGGTTCTTATGGAAAAGTGCATATTGAAAAGCATTGGAGTGAAATACCAAGTTGTTATGCTTATCAAACTGTAGTAAAAGATATTACGATTCATTGCAATAATAATACACCAATATACAAAACTGTTAATGATATCTTCGAACCAGGGATTACATGTTTTATGTTGGGACATCCATATTATGGAGCAATGGGAAAAGTATGACATGCAGAGTAATAGGAAAACAATGAACTTTTAAGTTCCATTTTTTTTTTCTTTTGATAGGTTCGCGAATCCGCGATTTGTAAAAAATCAGGTCGAATAAAAGTATCTGTAATAACGGTGCGAGAACCATCTTTCGAAGGGATCAAACAAATTCAAGCTGATCTTCAAACTCAGTATATGCGCGGGAATATAGCTTCACAAAGATTGGGTATAAGTCCTTTACTTTTAAGCAGAATTACTGGTACAATTTTTGTAAAACAGTCTTCAAATGGACTTCAACAAGATGATGTTACACATAACATTGGATTCAATTTAAAATTCACTAAGAAGAACGCGGAAGTATGCATATATATATATTCTATTTCTCTTTAATAAAACAATTCTTATTTTTTTTCTTAATTTTAGATTCCTGGTTATACTCGGAAAGCAGAAGACGGTCCTTGGTTTTACAGTCCCAAAGTTCTCGATTTAATTCGTAGTTATATGTTGAGATGTCCTACTTTATTCGAGCGATTAGCTCAAAATCCAACCACAGGTATCTTTCAAGAGGAAGATCTATTTATTAAAGGGTAAAGAATAAATTTAATTAACAGTCAATTTTTAGCAACTTTGATCATTGATTCGCAATATTTTGATGTTACAGTTCTGGAGAACTAAATGATACAGTGGCATGGTTGAAAGAACAACTTCATGGAATAGAAAGCCGGACGTGTGGCAGGGAAATCGTTGAAAGTTCTATAGTAAAAAAACTTGAAGAAGAAGTGGATACATATCTGAAATCATCAAACAGTATTGGAAAAGTTGTAGATATGCAAGTACAACCATATTTGCTTTATACACCAAGTTTGCGTGTACGCAATCTTTCACCCGATCCAAAAGCAGAAACTTATTTATTAGATAGAATTTGTTGCATTAAAGATAATTTTACTGTACCTCTTGGATATAAAGGAACTGTAATTGGAATACAAAAAATGGAAAATGTGTCAGATACTATGTATGATGTTTTGTTCGATAAACCAATCATAGGTGTGTGTAATTTTCTATTTATTTACTATTTCTTTAATAATAAATTTGATTCAGTTTAATATTATTTTTAGGTGGTCTTAGTATAAATGGCTCTTCTGAATTCCGCGCATATCGTTTAGCAGCTCTTGATTTTATAAATATTAGTTATGGACAAAGAATAGAGCATAGTAAAGAAACTATAAATACAAATACAGAATCTACAGAACAATGGAAAAATCTTATATCTAATCAGGAAACACAATCGCGCACAAATGCTACTACATCATATAAGAATGAAAATCATTTGCCAATCGAGGCAGCGATGTCACCAAAATGGATTGTCCATAAGAATACCGAAGAAACAGCGAAGAATCAATTGACTCACAAATTTAAACAGTATAATATACAGAATACTGTGAATATTCGAAAATCGCATAAAACAATGAAAAATATGCAACTTCCTCAGAACACACAGAAAAAATCATCTATAGAACCAACATCTGAATTCCAGGCAATATGGAACGAATTGCATAAAAAACAAGTTAGTTTATTTTATGAATATTGATGTTTTACAAGACCATTTAAATCTTTTGTTTGCTTTTAATAATATGTTTGAATTTATAATATATTATATTATTATTATTGTATATTATTTTCAATTTTGAAATTATTTTTTATAGAATAATTCTTGAAATTATTTTAATTATTTTAATAATATTTTAACAAATTTTAAATATTAATATAATTTATAGGAATTAAATAAAGCTACACCACAAGCTTCAACAAAACTCGAAAATCCAGTAAGCATAGTTATACAATTTCTTTCATTTTTTAATATACTATAACTAT